CATTAAAACTTGAGTAGCCATTAAGAAAATAACTTTAGATACTTAAGTTTATTATGTATCTGAAATAATGGTAACATAAATATCTAGATACGTTTATTGGATGAGTAAAAAAAAGACGAAATTGCTTATGGTGGGCTTCTTGCCCCACCTTACCCTACTCTACCTTGAATTATTTCATGAATACTATTTCTCATCGAAAATACATCAAATATTTGCAGTGCCGTGGCTAGTGAGTTAAAAACCCCCTTTCTCTAAATATGAGTTGTATAGATTTAATACTTCATATGTAATTGAAGATTATATATTTTTTTAATTCTGTAATTTCAATGATATTTCTAATGTAGCTTTTACTTGTTAATTCGATAGCTTTGTTTTCTCTGTTAGTAACTTATTTGTTTACCTCTGTGAGTAACAATTATCTCTGCTAGTATCTTTGTTGCAACATTTTTGAAAAGAGTTTTACTATTTTACAATACTTTTAAAAAGTATTGTAAAATAGTAAAGTGAAAAGAGTAAGAAAAAAAATCAGGGAATGCTGAAAACTTAACATAAAATTGAAAAACACATCATTACTGAAAGAACCCATCAAGGAAAAAAAATGTCGAAGTTAAAATCAGATCCTTAAAAATTGTTAAAAACATCATTAAAAAACAGATTCATAGTTGTTCAATATTTAAATTATAAAAACAAAAGCTCAGATATTAAACAAGTACAATCCGGTGAAACTTTGGAACGAGCGATTGTACGTAAATGAGGATTTTGTCATATACACAAATGAGTAACTAAAAAAGGACTAAACGCTAAAGATTTTATACTAAAAGTATGCATAAAGTTTATATACTAAAAATGATTCCTAAAATATTTCAACAAAAATCGATTAAAACCAATCTTAAAATGGAATGAAATTACCGAAATCGCTTTTAATATTTGTTACACTTTTAATATTTACCCTCAAGCCTTTGAGTCAAAAAGACGTGTTTTTGTTTAAGCGTAAGTTTTAAGGAAATTTAAATCTCTTTTTTTATCTCCTTTTTCCACCACAGAACTTCTTTCTTTATTTATTACTGCCTCTTATTTGCTTCATAACTATTTTTCTATTATATTTTAGACACGAATATATTAACTATTATAGTATTAGTAAACTATTATTATATTAATAGTATTAATTTTAACTTATTATAGTAATATAATATTCGTGTCTAAAATACAGTTTTTGTTGTACTCCGCATACCTATATTAAATATAACTCTACAATTTATACAAATCTACAGGGCCGTTAGAACAAAAATTATATTGGTAGGGGGGGGGGGGAGGCAGCACTACTCCGAAAGAGTTTTAAGGACCTTTTTTTATGGAATTTTTTCAGTCAATTTCTTCTTTATAATAACTTATTTACTTGAAAAATTATTGGGGGGCCAATGCCCCTGCTGTTCACCCGGTTCCTACGCTTGGTTCACGGACAAATCGTCAACAACTACAACGAGGCAGTCAAACGCCTTATTCCCTCTAATTTATCCCTTATGAGAAGAAAAAATAGCCCTAAAACACGCCCAAAGTTTGAGAAGCAGTCAGACTGAAACGCTACCATTGGGCTAAATACTGACCTTCAAGTATATGGACACATGACACAAACCGAATCGAGTATAACGTCTCAAGCAAGAATGTTATCGTCTGGGCGTTTAGGCAGCAGTGGCAAACTATGAAAAAGACATTGCAAGCGGGTTTAATGCCGACCCAAAACCCCTACACAACTACGTAAAGCATCAACAGCAACTCCAGGACATCTTCCGATCACTTGAAGATAAAAAACAGAAAAGTAATAGTAAGCATCCATAGTAATTACTTTCAATCAGTTTTTGCTTTAGAACCCGCCGATGACCTAATGCCCACTTTCGACAAGCGAGTTAACGCCGTATGTGATATGAACGAGTCTTATATCACGTACACCTAAGTCCAACGCAGACTCGAAAGCCTAGTTGAGTCCAAATCAATAGGCATTGATGTTCTTCAGCCAAGGGTCCTAAAGAGCTTTCGCAACAGACTTTGCAACACCGTTTACGTTTTTCTACTGCGAATCGCCTGAAGACAGCATAGTTCCCAGCCTCTAGCGCCGCTCGAATGTCACGTTGATCTTCAAGAAAAAGACGCAGACGCAAAGCATCTAAGTATCGCCCGGTATCACTAACATCAGTACCCTGCAAATTCCTCGAAAGTATCATACACGACCTAATTATGCATTTCTGAAACCAGCATAGTCTCATAACCAGGGCACAACATGGTTTTATGAACAAAAGAGGATGCGTCACAAACCTACTAGAAGCAACCTACTAGAGACATCTTGACCGAAGCTGCACTCCAAAACAGCTCCATCAACGTGATCAACACAGACTTTACCAAAGCGTTTGACTAACTACAAAGTAATGCACGCAGGAAAAAAAGCAACAAATCAATGCACAACTACACCATGGCTAAAGCAGACGGCTCTTGATACCAAGTCGAAGTCACAATTACAAAAAAAGACCTCGGAGTGCTGGTATTAGACGACCTCAAAGGCAACAAGCAAGTCGAATACGAAGCAATTATGTATAAAATGATGTTGGGAAAACTCAATAAATTATTCAGGTGCCAAAGAAAACAGCTCTGGAAAGTCTTGTTTACCACTTTTTTAGTCCAGTTTACAGTCCAAGCGTGATCTCCTCGCCTTCAATGCGACATAAAACGACTCCAGCAAATCCAACAAAGAGCGATCAAAGCAATAACTGAACTAAAACATCTTTCCTACGCAGAAAGGTTCTGTACACTAGACTTAACGACTTTAGAAGCAAGAAGCAAACGTGGGGACTTAATTCAACCATATAAAATTACACACGAAATTGAAAAGATCGACTGCTTCGCCTCAATCTCCCACAACAATCTACGCAGCCACAAACTTCGTCTAGATAAGCAGCTCGTGACGAACTGATCCGAACGATTTCATTTCTTCACCAACAGAGTCGTCAAAAAAACTGAAAATGGCTATAATATATAATTTAATTATTATTAAAATTAAAACATTTTGACATTTTTAAGTTTTAGGAAATTAACTACTGAATAAAGCAACTTAACTTAAACTAAAAGTTAATATTTTAAAATAAAGAAAGTATTTTCAGAGTTTTAAATGTATTTCAATTTTTTTTAAGAAAACATATGGCAAATATTATGATCAGATAAATTTCTTAACATTAATATAAGCTTAAGGAGTAAAGAAGTTTTTACTATAGAAATAAAAATCATACAAGAAACACTTTATTACGATGCTATTATCTAGCGGATACTTTACTTTTTTTATAACATTATTTGATCCCTGTCCAAGCCCCATAAGTGTATAAACATGGACGTTAAACCATTAGTAAGTAGCCACATAAAATTTCTTATAAAAATTTTATGTGGCCACCCCGAAAATTATTTTTCAATGCTAGAAATGTTTTATATTTTGATTATTAATTTATTTTTAATATATTAAAAAGGTTGTTTTATTTAAATTAAATATTTGAAAAAGTTATTAATAACCAACTAACTGTTATTATTTTTTAAAAATTCAGAGTATTTTCGAAAAGTTTTATGGCCTTCATGAATATGAAGGGCAAAGGTGGAAAAATATGTTTTAAGAACACTAATCTATATGGAGTTGAAAAAGATATACCTTCATAAGTTGTAACACTTTTCCATTCATTATTTATTTTTTTAAATCTTCCCTTTTTTTTTTTTTTTTAATATATATTTTTTATTTACAGCTTCTTCTATTGTATTCAATGGACCAAAAGAACCCTCGGTTAATGGAACATTGTTTGACTTTCTAAATTACGCTTTATTTCAAAAAGGTGGTGGAAAAGAGAAGAAATTTGTGTAGATTTTATTCAATTACATGTAAATATATGTAATATTTGAATATGTATTTTTGAATAAAACAAGTTTTATCTCTTTCTTTAATCATACCTAGCTATTTTAACTAAACTAAACTGAAAAAGTTCTAAATAGTCTAAGTATAGACTATGAATAGATTTAATATCCATAATATACCTTCATAATGTACAGCAACACTAATGTACATGCATGGTACGTTTTGATGGTGATCATATTTTGACGCACATAGCACGTTTACATACATATATACATTTTGACATACATAGCACGTTTTGATGGTGAAAAAGTGTTTTACAGTCGTTTAACGTTGATAAATCAACGTTAAAAAAACTATCATTTTAAACGTTGTATCAACGTAAAATCAACGTTGTTGTGACGTTTTTTCGCGTCGAATCAACGTTGATATAACGTTTAAATCTAACGTTGATTTAACGTTGATAAATCAACGTTGAAAAAAACTTTCATTCTAAACGTTAAATCAACGTAAATTCAACGTTATTGTAACGTTTTTTCGCGTCGAATCAACGTTGATATAACGTTTGAACCTAACGTTGATTTAAGGTTGATAAATCAACGTTGAAAAAAACTTTCATTCTAAACGTTAAACCAACGTTAATTCAACGTTAGGTTTCAACGATATTTCAACGTTATTTCAACGTTATTTGCCGGCTGGGAAATAACATAAACTTAAAATTAATACTAAAAGGTACTTTTAATCACTGTTCTCCTGTCAATTCAAACGTTCACTAGCAAGTCTTAGGCGCGCTTTTTAATTCTTTATATAAATAAAACGTTTTTTGTAGGACATTTTCCAAATAGATTTGCAGACTTTAAAAGTTCTTCAATTTCAGCATTTACTAAGACAGCATATTGCGTGGATCATTTTTCATAGTTCGAGGATATATATTTCAGCAGGATAACGATTCTAATTACACTTGAAACCTAGTAAAAGACTTATTCAAAAACAGAAAAACTCAATTAATTTAATGGCCATAGCAAAGTCCTGACCTTAATTTTAATTGAACATCTATGTAAACATATAAATTGACACTTTTTAGGTTGAAAACCAACAAGTTAATATTATTTGTTGAATATTCTTAAACAAGAATGGAAAATATGAATTGAAAAAAAAAACCAGTATACACGGCCTAAAAAGTATAATACAGATAAGTTCGGATTTAGTAAACATTTTTCAATGGATGGTCAAATTATGCAACCTTTTGTATATAAATGTACCTTTCCTTTAGCAATCAATATTTCTTTTATTCAATTTGGTAAATACTAGCAAGTTGTGCTCTCATTGGATGAGCTTTTTTTAATTAAATTACAAAAATTAAATTGACTTACATTATCATTATTTACAGATTCTTTTTCTATTGGGCGCAAAATTTCAGACAACAGTTTGTTGGTCTTCTTTTGTTCAAAAAGAAGTTTCTTTTGTTCAATCAAAATTGCTAATGTTAAAAAAAATATATAGCACTTCTATGTACAAGTACAATATGGTAGAACTTAGGCAAACACAGTATTCATACTATAGGACTGTAACTAACCTTCTAAACAAGATAGTTTGCTTAACTTCGGTGAACCACAGTGTTTTGTTTTAGGAACATCACTAATTATTGGAAGCATCAATGCTCTGGGAGCATCAACATTGTCAAGTAGCATGTCAAGCTTCCGCTTTTCCAAAGCCATAATCTGTGCTTCACTTTTTTTAGATCCTTTTTGACTGTTATAAAATGATGCAAAGGACTCTGATTCTATAAATGAAAAAGACAATAAAAATATGTTCAAGAAATTACATAAACAAAATTGTAATATTATTAAAATTACCTGAATTTTCATTCAACACTTCATTTACATGTTTTTTTTTCAGCACCTTTGATTTAGGAGTCGATTTATATTTAGGTCCGTTTAGGCCTGTATGTTCTGAGACCGGTGCAATATTCTCTGAATCTATAAAAAAAAACATGAACAAGTTGTGGTTACAAACATATAATCATGGGTGTACTAGGGGCTAGGCTACTAGTGGATCCAATAGATCCCCACCTACCATCGGATAGTGCAACTTTAACTTGTGTTAATAATTTTTGTGTGAATTTTGTGTCATTTTTTATTATTTAGCAAAAATGTTTAATTAATTATTACTTGTGTAGCAGACATAATAACTAAACTCTGTCTGGTAACAAAGGTAACCTCCTTATTTTTGACCCAGGGTGCTATTGCACTCCGGCACCATGGTCCAGTTCACCACTACACAGAAGAGTAAATTTTAAATAAAATTACTATAATATTGTCTTGTCATTGTCACATATTTATATTACATAAGTTACCTGAGGATTGGTCTCCATCAGAATGTTTTCTTTTTCCGTCAGTATTGCCTTCAATATAATTGAGGGCAAACTTGCTTACTTCATCAGTGCTAGGATTTTCATCACCAAAATCGTCCATGAAGTTATCTAGCAATGTTTCAAATTTACAGCATTGGGTAATAGACCCCTTATAGATGATGACAGCTGCGTGTTGTATATTTGCAATAGATATATGCACTACATTTTTCTAATAAGTAAAAAACATTAAATTTAATTATCAACACACCATAAATAGTATAATAAAAGCAGGGGCTTCCATTTTTCAACATCCCTAAAAAGTGGGCATCTAAAATACTTCTTCCATTTTAGGGTGGGCTTCTATATATTCAGCTATGTAAAAAAACAAAAAAAAACATTTTTATCTTATTCGTGGGCATCTAAAATACTTGCATCTATTTTAAGGTGGGCTTCTATATATTCAGCTAATAGCTGATAGCTGATATATTCAGCTAATAGCTGGTATGTAAAAAAACAAAACAAAATTTATCTTCTTTGTCAATTATAGGGAGGGGGGATAAAATTTAAGGGTGAACTTTAATTATATTATGTATGGTAAATGCTGTCAGTTTTTTTTAACACACTTACCACTTGAAATTCAAGGCATTTAACGGATGAATAATGCTTAAAAAGTGTATTTGAAAGTGATATGGGAGAGGTATGCCACTCATCTTTTTCACAATCCTTGTACCATAAAAGAACAAACGTAGAAGAAAGCTTTTGAGTGTCTACAAAATCTAATTTCTTTGTTCTATTTCTATCAGGGTAAGTCATTATTTTATAAAATATAAACCTGTAAAAAAATTCAATCAAATTATCAAATTATTTTAAATCAAATTATCAAAATATTAAAAACAAAAATGTTTGTTAGTATAAAAAAACACACATGCATGATGTGAAGCATATTTATTAATTACAAAATTTACATTTAGCCACCCTAAGCATATTCGAAAAGTTCTTTCAATGGTGTCAAAATTAATACATCTTTTGTATCTAATTTACTTTTAATTAATATACATGTGTTCCCTTCATCATTTTTTATAATTACTTAGCCGAGCTTCAAAACAAAACATTGAGTAATTTGTAACACTTCCATGCATTTTAATAATATCGCTAACATGACCAAGCAAATGAACATTTATAGTATTCATATATAAAGGAAGCAACTCAGACAATGATTTTTGATAAAAGTTAAACAGCTGACTAATAAGCAACACCTTATCTAAACATATTTCACTGCTACACAAACGCATACCAATTACTAAAGAATAAATCATCATCATGCAGTCAGGATTCAAATATGGTAAAAAATATGGAACTGCTAAGTATAAAATAAAGTTTTTAAAGTCATGGCCTTTCCAATGTGTGAATGATTTAATAGTTAATGGCTTGGGCATGTTATGTGGCATTTTTTGATCAGCAAGTAAGATTTCCATAGCATTTAATTTTGCACTACCAATAAAAAATGATTCGTGTTTATTGGTAACAGAAAATAAACAAACTAAAAGCTTTTTTGAGCAATTTTCGTAAAACAAATGTAACACATCAATAAGTATCATATCTGGCACTTTAATAAATGAAATGTCACTAAAGATGTTTGAGCCTTTAATTCCAAATACAGATACTTTTGATTTTTCGGCTAATCTAGCATATATGGCATACATTTCAGATGTTTTAAGATTATAATTTGTATCTGAATGTGAATAAATTCTAGCGGAACCATGTTTTCTTTCAATTGTTCTACCAGGATGTTCGCAATAGTGACATCCAAATTCACCATTATACTGCTTATGATTGATGATTGAAGCCACTGCAGGCAAATCGAAAACAAAATCAACAATATGAATAACTACTTGGATATTGTTAATTTCAAGGGGTGTTTCAAACAGTTTTCCGTTGATGTACTCCTAAAAAAAAGTTAGTAATATAGTAACGTTGCCCAATTTATTCTTGTTACGGCTGGAACAGTGAATTCTACTACTATAGGTAATTCCATTGACAACTACTTTTAAAATAAAAAATAACAATCAATAATTTAATTACCTTTAAATAAGCATTCCAATTAGGTTTTAATAATGAGAACCATAAACCAAGAAGTAGTGTATTTTCAAATAGGAATCGTTTATAAGATGGTAAATCTAAAATAATAGCATGAAATGGCCACATTGTAATCTTTTTTTTTGTGTATGGTTCTCCACCATCTGTTGACATCAATAAATGAATATGTAAAACATTTGCAGACTTCATATTTTCAACAAAATTTGGTCTAGAAATAAAATCACTCTTTCTTTTACCTGACATAATTTCCAATTGATATGATTTAATTGCATCCAAATTCAGAAATAAAACAAGTTTCATTTGGCTAATGATATCCAATATAAAGATATGGGATGAACAATGAGTATTTATTTTACACGTGTCAACTAAAGCTGTGCAGCAATTATGACAATAATATTTATGCGTTGGTTCAGTATGCGAGAATATATTTTTAGTAACAAATCTACGAATCATTTTATGAGATGACGGCATGTCATTTATACAGCGATTTAAAAATTTAAAAATTAAAAATATATTTTTTCAAGCTTTATCAACCAAACTAAGCCTGGGCCAGACCCCAGCCTCAAGTTGAAATAAAAATATGACATACTTCATTATTTTTATAATTTAATAATTTGTAAAAAAAATAATTTGTAAAAACTATAGATATAAAATATATAATATATAATTGTAAAATATTATATAATATATAATTTGTAAAAAAAGTCGGATAAAATTTTCACAAGTAAAATGTTTTATAATTAGGAACGTTCTGCATTACTTTATCAGACTTTTTTTACGAATTATTGGCAATGTGCACCATTTCTGGTAGCAGCCAGAGATAAATAGCCAGATCAACATTTATTGCTAAGGACTAAGTTGATTGATAATTTTATTAGCTTCACAATATTCATTTATAAGTACATTGCACAATTTAAACTACATCTAACATACCAGCAAAGTCTTCAAAAATCTATCAAATGCGATTTCAGTAAATGAATTGCTAATCATTAAATACAACAAGGTTAAAAACATAAACTTTTTGTTAACAATTGAATCCAATAAAGAACATTCAAATGGATTAGAACTAAAGAACTGAAACATGGAAGCACTCGATTCTTCCTCAGATACTAGAATTTGATTTTCTTCCTCAGATACTATAGATACAATTTCTTCTGTCTCTTGGGTAAAACTACCATCATTAACATTATCATCTGTATTGCTACAGTCGGACTGAGAACTACTTTTAGTAATTTCCTCATCAGAAGAAGTAGACTCTTCAGAGTTCTTCTCTCGTACTTTCTATTAAAAAAATTTCGTTTCATTGCACATATATTCACCATTAATAAAATTTTATGAGTCTTTACTTATAAATAACTATGTTATTTTTGCATGGGTATCTTGTGTGGCCAGACAGGTTTGCTGGGCTCATGCAAGCCATGTCTAACGTGCGCCGAAGAAACCTGCCTGGCCGCACTTACACTGCAGTATAAAGTCCAATGAAAGCATGCTTGTAACTTCAGTTACAATCATAAAATCGATTACCTAATATTAGTTGCAATAATATTGCAATAATATTACAATTATATTGCAATTATATTGCAATTATATTGTAATATTTTAACAACAATCTTGCTACTGCTTGTAAACCCATTAAATTTATGTAAAACAAAAAAATGACACAGGCAATTAGATAAGCATCAGAATTATTTATATTTAAATGCATCTAAATTACATTTACAAACACATTACATTTGTATAATTTTATTGATATTTTATTGGACAATTAATTGAGCAATATATAGCAATTTAAATTGAACGCGCAATAATATTGCAATATGTTGTAATAAACCGCAATATATGTCGATTAGTGCAGCATAATTAAATAAGAGGTGAGTCTATTCGCATGCACGTGTGAACAGACTATATCTTATTTAGGGATGTACGGGAACTTCGTTCCGAAATACCGGCAAGATTTTGTGACTTTTAGATTATTCCGGTTCCGGCCGGTTTATAATATTTCAGGCCGAAATGCCGGAATGCCCTTGTTGCGCTCTTGTTAGTGAAGAGTTTTTAAATATTTTAATTGAAATGATGAAAGAAGCCCTATGCAAATTCCTCAGTCAATCCCTTGTAGCAGCAGGCTATAAGATAACGAATGTTGCAGCACTTCCTTGTAGCAGCAGACTATAAAGTAGTCGATATATTTATTAAAGCCAATAAATATTCTTTATGTTTATATTAAAAAGTCATCACTTTGAGATCTCCACACGAAAGCGCAACAAGCAATTAAATAAAGTTATTTTAGATCGCATAGGGATTGTCCATAAATTACGCAACGCGAAATTTTATTTGTTGGAGATCATTTGTTGGAGATCATTTGCACTTTTGCGCAGCAATTTTAATTGAACTTAAAAAACTAATTTGACTTTTGGTTTAAGAAGGATCTGCGAGGGAAAACGTTTGATCTTATTTGCTTTAACTATTAGTTAAATTTAGCGTTGCGTAATTTATGGACAGTCCCATATCTGTAGCTTTGCCTAATTTTTTTTGCAGTAATCACTATATAATCTTCCAAATTTCTAAACTTCCAGTAATCTTCCAGTAATCTTCCAGTAATCTATCCCTAGATAAGCAATCGATTTGTATATATTAGTCCTTTTGAATAAATTTGCCTACGCCAGTGGTGTTTGCACAAACGGAATTCATGCAATGATAGGATAAACAATCAGAATAACAACTTGTGTCTCTCGGAAATTCTTTTCTACCAAATTTGATATTAAAAAGAAGAACTACTCATTATTTTTCATGTTTTAAGATTAAAATGCCCCAGAAGAAAGTACATGGAGTGTTTTAGACAGTGATTGGACAAAGTAAAGCATTTTATATCAATGGTTTACAAAGACATTTCTTTCCGGAAAATTTTTTTTTTATATAAATGTATATGAATTTGTTTACTCTTACGATATAAAAAAAGCATTTGTTTTTTAACTAAAGTTTATTTTTTTGGTTTTTACAGAAATTTCATTCCTTTTGAACCAATTGCCAATTGGGGCAAATAAGCACTGGGATTTTTACGTATATTTTGGGTTTTTATAAATGTGAGTGAACTTGTTTACTTTGACAATATGAAAAAACACTTTTTCTTTAACTAAAGTTAATTTTTATTATCTTTACATAGCCTTAATTGTTATCGGTCCAATCGCCTCAATGCGGGCAATTAGAGCTAAAATATTTACATTTATTTTTTACATTTATAAATGTAAATAAATTTGTTAACTCTGACAGTTTGAAAAATCTCTTTTTCTTTAAATAAAATTATTTGTTACGGTTTTAAAAAAGTTTTTTTGTACTCTTGGCCCGATTTGCCCCAAAATGGGAAAACAGGTTATGTGTATTTTTACATAGTTTCCTAATACTTATAAATAAAAATGAATTTGAACATTCTGACAGTTTGAAAAAGCTCTTTTTTAACTAAAATTAATTTTTACTGTTTGTACAGAACTTTGATTGTTCTTAGCTCAATCGCCCCGACTGGGGAAACAAGCCCTAAGATTTTTACATATTTTCTCGATATTTATAAATTTAAATGATTTAATGTTTACTGTTACTTAAATAATGAATGTTTACTCTGACAGTTTGAAAAAGCTTTTTCTTTAACTAAAGTTAATTTGTACGGTTTTAATAGAGCTTTTTGTACTTTCGGCCCAGTTTGCCCTAAAACGGGAAAACGGGTC